CAAGCCATGGGAAAACACTTCTTTTGAGATGAGGTAACATACAGGATGTTACAGTTGATGACCTTTCACCAATTATTTTTTAAGCCATTCAGTAATAGCTAAAGAAAAGTTGTTTATGCTTTTGTTTCATTAGAGAACAAACAAAACAGTGAGACAGAGAACAAAACATTATTTTGCTGTTTAACTTCTTGAACTGTGACTAATGCTATTACAGTCAGTAAGACTACTCCCAACATACAAAGTTTAATGCATTTTTTTAACTTTTGGCTAAAAAAACAATTTTACATTATAATTTCTTCAATACCATGTTATACAAACTTATTGAAAAGTGCGTTTCACTTAGATTATGTACATTAATGTCCATTACTGATTGTACTGAAAATTGGTGGTGGTGAGGGAAAATAAAAGTTTAAAAAAAAAAAAAAAGTCAACATTATAAATTAATTAAGTATTTTTTTTTTTTAACTTTAAAATAAAACTAAAGAGAAAACAGATTTCATGTTAGTGTGACATATGTATGTTTAAACTTAAACTGTGCCAAGCTGGGTGAGTATTAAGTGTAACATAAGCAAGTATATAAATAAAGCATTTAGACTTGTAAAATTTACTCTTGGTCACACTAGATAGATTTTTAGGCTGTAAGAACTATAGCACAACTAGAAGCAGATTATTTCCCAAAGTTTGTACACTGATTTCTGATACAGAATTGTTTGCAAATATTGCTCCTATAGCTTTTTCAACTACAGCATATATGTAGGAGAAGATAATGATGTTCGTTGTTGACATAAGAAGGACTTTAAAAATGGAAAACCATTTTCAGTACTTTTGCATACATCATTTTGTCATGTGTCACTGAAGTGAATAAGACTGGGAATTAAAGTACTGTGCAATGTGAGTAAAGGTAACAGAGTGGGCATACAAGGTAAAAAATCATACACTGTGTGTCAAAGTACTTTAATTAAACAACAGATCTAGGTCCTATTCAAAATTGTTGGGGATTTGTTGTCTACTTTACCTGTTCTCATATGGCCAAATTATGTTTGCAGTAAAGGACACTGAAATATGAAATATGCAAGTAGACAAATAGTACTGGAAGAATTCCACTGAGGATCTTCCAGGTTTTGTGTCAGTATTTTCTCCAGTTTTTGAGAATGTGTTTGATATAACAGTGTTTATAAATTTCTGTAAAAATACATTTTCAAAATAACATAAACATGCTTTTTATGATAATGCTAAATGTAAAAAAAAACCTGCGTATTGTATGTATAAAGAAGAGTAATCTTTTTTGCTTATTTCTTTAGAAATCTGATTAACTGCTTAAGGGCTAGAGTTTGCCAGCCACATTCAAGCAGAGCTAATCCAAAGCCACCAAGTCAAAGGAAAGATGCCCACAGGCTTCAGTGGGATTTGAAGTGCAATCACAGACAAAACTCTTCTTGTGAGTCAACCCAGCAATGGGACCATAGATAAGGGGATATACTATTTGATCTAATGGAGACTCGGGGAGTTTACGTCAGTACTGCACAACCAGAGTTGTTATAATTTCTAGTAAGGAAAGAACTTTATACTGAAAGTGATTGCATGAAAGAGAGTGTGACAGCTTGCAATTTAAAAAAAAAAAAATGAAAAAAGAAAAAAAAAAAAAGAAGACGAAAAGAAAAAAGGTTCTGTATATTGGCCCATAAATACTACATTACCTCTAAAAATCAGATGACAGAAGTCATCTCTCATCAGTGGACACAAATTCTGACATTGGGAAAAAAAAAAAAATCACCTTTTTGAATTAATGATGGGCTGCAACCATCTCTTGGTTTGCATCCAACAAGTCGTCACCCTTTTTTTTTCCAAGTTTCTATAGAAGCTTGAGGGTTAATATTTCTACCAGCTAAGTGGCAGTTGTTGGTGGGGGTAGGGTGCAGGAATGGGAAAGGGAAGCAAGGGCATTTTTATTAAATCTAAAAGAACCCCTGTAAATAGAATTTTGTTCTTCATTTTAAGCAATGTTTAGCTTGGAAAGTTGAGTAAAGACGACTTGTGATACATCTGTAAACCAGACAAGGCAGGAGCGAATGTAGACCTGTACCGAGAGGAGAAATTCTGCTGTTTTATGAAGTATTCAATTTTCTTTGTGAATATCTTGAACTCTGTTACGGATACTGTACTGTATTAAACATGTAAAAAAATGATGTTTGTCTAAGTAGCTTACAAAAATAATAACTCCTTGAATGGGAGACTATCCATGTCTGGAGATCTGTCGTAACTAAATACCTGACTTGTTATGGTGTTGTAACTTAATAGAAGCTATTTGAGAGGAAGCATGGTGTATGAGATTTTGTAAGTTATTTGTGCTGGTTCTGTATGTTGTGCCATGTGTGTAAGACAAGAATAAACTGCTGCTTTTGTTCATCCCATCCCAAAACAATTATCCCACCAATGTATCTTTTCCAGAGATTTCTGCTGTTGTTTGTATTCAGAGTCTACTCTCTCATGCTTCTAGCAAAACCCTTTTGCCTTGCAAAGTCTTACTTATCTCAGAGGTGGATTAAGTTTGTTCTGCCAAATACTACTCAAGCACATTCTTTATTCCTGACATCTTGCTGCATACGTGCTTTTGTCTTGAATTGTACTGCACACTCAGACTAGAACCTGAGACATGACCCATGGTAGAAAGTCTGAGCCCTACCTGGGCCCTACAGGCACTGATATACAGATGCAGACAAGAATGAACTTTAGTATATTAGGTTGAAGAATTAAAATGTAAGGCGTGTTACTTTTGGAATCTTGGGAACATTCCATTTGTTTTCCAGAAGCAAAAATTTTCCTTTACTCCATTGTGTTGTACCACTCTTACTTCCTTGTATGTAAGGAAATCATCAGACACTAGCTTGTCAGGCAAATCTCCAAGGTAAAATAGAGAAAACATTCCTTCAAATTCTATACATACAAACAAACTTTGCTGCTGTGGTCTCTAAGTTTAGTAGAGTATTTTAGTAGCATAGAACCAAAAGCTAAGAAAAGAAGGTGGCAGTTGGAGCTGGGATGTAGATTGCCATTTAATGACTCCTCATAGTGAGCCTACATCTGATTACCTGGAAGAGATCCCTGATCTTTGTAGCAGAAATCAATGACAGAATCTGCTAGCCAAATGCATGAGATGGAAGATCTTCCATGGGTATAAGCTGGTATTTTCCCTCTGGCAAATCCCCTGTCTCCCGGAGACGGGTATGGAGTTTAAAACTGCTCCTCTTCTTCCTATGCAGACACTTTTTTTTCTTTTTACCTTGAATTGCATAGTTCTCCTCAAACAACAGTGATTCACATGGGTCACATTCCAGAGTCTCCCATTCATGATACAGATCAAGAACTTCTTTAGATTTCCCAACCCTAACACAGCTGAGCCTCAGGGAAAGCCTCAAGGCTACGGTCCTAATTGCTATTTATATCTCAAATTGCTGCAACAAACAAGTCCTCCTCAAGAGAGCCCTCACAGATGTCCTCCTCCTCATTGCAGATGTGATTCCTGAGGTGTGACACTATTCTGTAAGGCCCTTGTATTTATACAGTATCGTGGATAGCAACATGCTGCACACACAGGAACAATACATAACCATAAATGACCATGAATAATACTTCTTTTTGTCAAATAAGACTCAAATATATTCTGTATAAGCTAATAGCTTCTTACCCACACTTTCTGTATAAGGAAGCCTCACAAAGCTGCTGAATTCTGCGTGGCACTCTTACAGGGGCTATAACTGTCACTGACAATTATGTGCTTTGCTCTGCTTATGAATTCTGAGTAATTACCCTTATTCAAAAAGTTCCACCCAGTTTTTGCAGTCTTTTCCATGGTGTCTTTTACCTTCCACCACTGAACAGCTGTTGCAACTTGCCTTTGGGTCTGGAGGAAGAGCTGATTTATAGTTGCAGCATGGCAGAGCTTTCTAGTTTAGAAGAATCAGTCTATAAGAAGGGAAATAGCATAAATTAAATTTGTTCCATGTTTTTGTTACATCTGTATTATGCCAGTTTTAATTTGGTGCACCTAGAGTACTTTGTACATCAGCAGACAATGTCCGGAAATCACAGGTGTGAATGCTTTGATTAAACCATCAGCAACACAAACAAGTGTTGTCCTGATAGATGAGTTGACTTCTGCTCAAGCCATTCAGCCTTGATAGCAGGATTGAGGAGATACCACTTAAGCCCCTATGCCTCACCCCTGCCCCCCCGAAATCTGCAGTCACTCTTGACATGCTCTGGATTACCCATAGCAGTAGTGCTGATGCCCAGATGGAAGAGCTAGTAGTCCGAGGGCTGGACAAGCT